ACCAGCTGCGTGTTCGTGAGCATAGCTTACAAGCCTTTCACAGCTGCTTGCAGCTGCTTACTACAAAATGACAGAGTCTGAATTCTGCGTAACTGCATGGCTGCATGCGTGAATGGCCGTACCGACGTCGGCAATATTACGAACCCGAAGATAGACGATGGCGGCGGAGGTCAATGTTCGGAGAAGTGACAGCGATATTCAGCATGGTCTTCAATTGTTAGCTCATCAATTATGACCACACATGTGACAATGATAGAATCAGCGGAGATAACACAGATTACGATGATGAAGATGAAGATGGGAATTGTGATGATGATAACGATGATAATGATGGTGAGGAAGAGGAGGATGTTTGCTGTCTAGAATTTCGTAAACTAAATTAGCTCGTCTGAACTGTGGAACATCTTGCAAACCGGAGTCATACTACATCCTACTACCATGTACAACAACATAGCATCAGGTTATGCATGGTGTTAAACCAATTGAGAGTGCAGAAATTTGGCAGCTCTGTGGTGTGGTTACTTGTTGGGAATAATCTGCCAATACCGTTGTGTTCCGTAGTTGCTGCCGCTGCTTGTTGCTGACATTGCTGGTGGTCGAGGTGGAATTTACTACAGCCGTTCTCAGAAGGCTTCAGCTTGCCCGAAGCCCGAAACCCTAAACCCTAAACCCTAAGCCCTAAACCCTAAAAGGCTTCAGCTGGTACGAAATGGACACGGCGCAATGGTACCCAGAAGCATATGCTTCGCGATGCGGAACAGGAGCTCCTCAGCAAAATGTCCATCTGGGTAAATGAGGATCCCTTTTTGGGTCCCGAATATAGTACGGCACCCTTTTTCAAAAGGACCCTAAAAGGGGACCCTTTTTCAGACAACTACACATCTGCATGACTCCGAACACATCTTGCAGTTGAGTTCGCAATTCACAACAAGCTCACCTACGTCTCACTGATTTTCGCAAAACACGCCGACACTGTCATGACAGCAACGGAACACAAAGCAATCCACCAAAGCTGCCAATGTCGCCAAGCTGCCGAAACAAGCCCGTCCGGCGAAGCCTTCAACCGTCCTGCCCCGTCGAAGAGCACTTCCGCCGGCGAGGCAAAGTAGATTACCTCGGCAACTGCGATACTGAGCCGCGACAACAGCGGCGGTTGTAGTGGAAGTCGTCGGGGCCGCAGTGGCAGAGTTTCCGAACTAGCTGTGCTGAGAGAACTACTACAACCATTATTATTATTATTATCATTACTACTATTAGTACTATTATCATTACTACTACTATTATTGTTAACACTACTACGACCACTGCCGCCACCACCACTCCTCCTGGTGCTGCCTCTAACCTCAGCCCTACAAAAACCCGACCTAGAGACAAAGTTCTTGAACCCATAGAACCCTGGTTTAGGGTTTAGGGCTTAAAGCCCTTATTCTCTACCTAACTATGATTAGATTTCGAAGCCCCACGATGGAGCATTGTTACTTACAGAACCCTTAGAGGGTTCCCTATACCATGACAAAATTCGAAGCTCCCGAAACCCTAAACCCCCAAAGTTTAAATCCAAAATCGTCAACCCTAAAACCCTAAACCCCAAAACTCTAAACCCCTGAGACCCTAAACCCAAAACCCTGAGCCCTAAGCCGAAGGGACCCCCCAACCCCCAAACCCCAAAACCTTAAACCCCGAGCCCAAAACTCTAAAACCCTAAACCCCCAAACCATAAAAGCCCCAAAAGCCCTAAATAGTACCCTTTACACAGATCCCTTTGAGGATCCCTCTTAAAGGGAACCCCTAAAAAGGCCGAAAAGCCCTAAACCCCCCAAATAGTACCCTTTTTATGGATCCCTTTAAGGATCCCTTAAACTGAACCCCTAAAGCCTTAAATACCCTTTACAGAGATCCCGTTTAAGGATCGATCTTAAAGGGAACCCCAAAAAGAGCCCTCAATATCCCTAAATAGTACCCTGTACAGAGATCGCTTTACAGAGATCCCTTTACAGAGATCTCTTTGAGGATCCCTGTAAGGATCCCTTTTAAGGGGAACCCCTAAAACGGCCCATAGTAATAATAGTAGTAATATTAATAATAGTAAAATAATAGTAATAATAGTAATAATGGTAATAACAGGCCGAAGCCAAAAGGCGAAGTTCTCAATATCCCTAGAGATCCCTTTAAGGATCCCTTTTGAAGGGAAGCCTCCCAAAAAATAATGGTAATAATGGCAATAATGGCAATAAAAAATAAGATCCCGGTCAAGGATCCCTCTTAAACCGAACCCCTAAACACCCACCCCAAAAAAAGCCCTAGAATCCTAAACCCCTAAAGGCCCTCCCATATAGATCCCTTTAAGGATCCCTTTTAAAGGGAACCACCCCCCAAAAACGGACTTTTAAGGATCCCTTTTACACCGAACCCCAAAAAACGGGCCGAAGCCAAAGGGCGAAGTTCCTGAGGCTCAGGTCGAAGCCCTTTGGGCCGGTGCCCAGGAGGAGCTCCAGCCACCGGAAGCCTCCGAGGCTCGGCTTTTAAGGGGGGGGGGGTCGTAGGGGGGTCTTATGGGGGGTTTTAAAGGGCTTTTTAGGGTTTTAGAGGGTTTTATAGGGCTTTATAGGGCTTTATAAGGGTCTTTTTGGGTTTTTATAGGGTTTATAGGGCTTTGTAGGGTTTTATAAGGGTCTTTTTGGGTTTTATAGGGTTTACAGGGCTGTATAGGGTTTTATAAGGGTCTTTTTGGGTTTTATAGGGCTTTTATAGGGTTTTGATAGGGTTTGAGAGGGTTTGATGGCCGCAGCAGTAATAACAATAATTTTAATACTGTTGATGATATAAATCCTGCATTACCTTTAAGGACCCTCAACTATGGGAATTATGGGATATTCCTTATTGTGGGACATGCAGGATTTATATCATCAACCGTAGTAACAACAGTAATAACAATACTAATGGTATTAATCGTCATAATCATAATGATAATAATGATAATAATAATAATAATGATAATGATAAGTCCTTTTTCCGGGGTTCAGGGTTTGGGGTTGGATGGTTTTGGGGTTTTGGAGTTTTGGGGTCTTGGGGTGTGAGGTTTGGGGTTTGTTTGGGGTTTCGGGTTCGGGTGTTCAGGCAGGCTTTAGGTTTTTCTCTCTTCTGGCTCCTGTTCCCACCGCCCTCAGACTCCGTCAGACTCCGGCTTTAGAGGTTAGGGCTTTGGGGTTTAGGATTTGGGTTTGGGGTTTCGGGTTTGGGGCTTGGGGTAGCGCTAAACCCTAAACCCGAAACCTTAGTGTTTTGGGGAGCTGCCTGAAAGAGTGAAAATCTCAAAGCAGAGGCTTCAGGTTCTCTTTAGACGGCAGCAGCAAAAAGGAAGCAATCAAGCTTGAAGGGCTCCTCTAAGGGGTCCTCTAGAGGTTCCATTTTGGGTTCCTAAAAGGCTTCCCTTGAGTAGTGCCCCGAACCTCAGGAGCCCGAGGCCTTCATTTTCCAACCCCCCCCCTCCCCCCTTGGAAAACCTTTACCATCATACAAAAACCCGAATTATTTACTGTAGATCCCTATGGTTGTAACTTGAAGAAGATCCCCTTCACAAGAAGCCCTCCTTTTAAACCCCCCGACATAAGAAACCCTAGAAAAAGCCCTAGTTACCCCCAACCCTAAACCCTAAACCCTAGGGAAGCCATAGTTTAAGCCCTAGAATCCTAAACCCTAAACCCTAGAACCCTAGAGCCCTAGAATCCTAAACCTTAAACCCTAACCAGCCAAGCCAGCCTGCGACGACGCCAAAGAAGGAGAGGGTGAAGTGCGCCATTCGGGATCTCCGGGGCCCCAGCCAGGAGAGCACGAGGAACCTCATGGCGTTTAGGGCTTTTAGGGTTTAGTTAGGATTCCCTTAAAGGGTACTATAATAAGGGCTTATAGGGTTTAGGGGTTTAGCGGTTTAGGGCTTTAGGGGTTTAGGGTATAGGGCGTTAGGGGTTTAGGGCTTTAGGGGTTTAGGGTTTAGGGGTCTAGGGTTCAGGGGTCTGGGGTTTAGGGTCGTTTTTTTGAGGGCCTTTTTCCGTCTGCTAGGTACCAGCTCGAGCATCGGGTTTAAGGTTTAGGGCCTAGGGTAAGCCCGATACCCTCAACCCCTCAGGGCTTAGAATCCCTGGCCACCTTCGTCCCAAAAACCATCTTCGAAACCTGCTGGAGATCCCGTCACGAGCTGCAAAACCCGAAACCCTCAACCCTGAACCTTCAGGGACCTATGCCCTACCGTTGATGAAAAAACCCTCATCATACTGGCTTAGGGTTTAGGGTTTAGGGATGTAAATCCTGCATTACCTTCAGGACCTTAAACCCTGAACCTTCAGGGCCCTATGCGCTAGACCCTGAACTGGAAGCCGACGGGTTATGCGCTGTAGGGAGCCCCTGACTCAATACTAAATGCCCAGTGGGTGCAAGCATTTTGGGTTTCGGGGCTCCAGGTTTAGGGCTTTGGGTTTCGGTTTAGGGTTTAGGGCCTAGGGCTTAGGGTAAAGGATTTGGGGTTTAGGGTTTAGGGCCCGTTAAGGGTTTCTCTCAGGATTGCTGGGTTTTGTTTTTGTGCTTCGTTTGGGGCTTGGTCCTTTGCCGTCGTTTTTCATCCCAAAACCGAGGCACTAAGGCCGAATCCCAAAACCTGAAATCCGGTGCCCCAGAATCAAAAACCCCTCAACTCCTTGTAGAGCCCTTAAAAGGTGACTCTAGCATAGCCCCCTATCCTACCCTAAACCCTAAACCCTAAACCCTAAACCCTAAACCCTATCCCGCTTTTTCGCCTGCTCGCTGCGAAGTTGTCTCGAGAGACGGCCATAGGCCGAGAAGTAAAGGAAAGCTGCCTGCAGGGGAGCCAGAAAAGCCAGGGGACCGAAAGCGAGGACTAAACCGAAAGCCTAAGGTCCTAGGGGCCTAAACCGAAAAACCCTAGGGGTTCAGGGAAGAGGGCCCAGAAGGGCGAAGTCTGAGCTCGAAGCTAGGTGTCTCCAACCTTAACATCCTTGGCGATAGCCACAGTCCTGAATAACTTTCAGGACCAAGCTTCTGGAGAAGCTACTCAAGAGACGTATGCGATCGCGAGCCCAGCGTGGAAGACGTTGCAACAAAAGCTGGGCCGCAACCTCCTGAAGATAAAACTCAACCGTCTTAGTTTTGCTCCATCGCCCTCGCCATGCCACAAGAGGCAAGTCCTCAGTTTCAAGGTACAAGAACGTAGCGCCGGAGCCCCTTAAGACTCCGGGTGTTGCGCCCTTGTCGGCAAGACGATGAGGGACGCCCAAACGAGCCATAATGCAATTCCATTGCCGCCGGTAGACATGCATGGACCCGCGAAAGAGGCGCGAAGGAAGCGGAAGGTCGAAGTAAAGAGCTTCAAGAAGGAGCAGGACAAGAGGATCCTCAAGACGCGAATGCTGGCGGCGGGCGAACCGCTGGGTCTTGGGGTTGCGGATGTGGACATACGCAACGGGATCCGGAGAAAGGGCATCCTCAGGGAAGACAAGGTCGGCCCGAATGAGACAAATCATCTCTGACGGATGCAACATGCAAAGGAAACCGACGAGGGTCACCGCCGCCCAGTCACACCAGCCCCAGCACAGAGCCAAACTGACTGCAGCCAGAAGAATGGGCTGAGAGATGACAGGGCGGCACTCACCAGGTTCAGCTTGCTGCCACTTGCGGTCAACCTGCCATGCCGGGGACAGGTGGGAGCGAAACTCTGGGCGGCAGTCTTGGACGCCAGTGATGGCGTAGACAAGAAGGTAGCGAGGCTGGCCAGAAGAGTAAAGGTAGAGGCCCCAAGCACGTAAAGCAGCAGCCGCGGCCGGCGCCGAAGACAGGACCGCGGCCAGGGAAAGGCTGAAGGACGCCTCAAGCCAGACACTGAAAGCGGAAAGGGCCTTGTCCATCTTATGGCGCGTCGACACAGCAAAACCACCCTCCATGTCCAAGTGCCCCCGAGGCTCCCCACTGTGGAAAGGACCAGGGTTGCGCTCAACATCCCCGGCCAACAGTAAAAGCAGGCGAAGCCAGCGGCCTAAGAGGCGAGGAACAGCGGCCGAGGCACAGACAAGGTCAAAAAGGCGGAACTCACCTCGAGCTAAAGCCTCAAGCCAGAGAGGGCGGGGCTTCGAAGGAGGAGCCGGGGGACGACCCCGAGAAGGGCCATCAGCGCGGTTCCGAGCCGAGTAAACGTGAAGCCCGCCGGGGTACAAGCCTGAGCCCAGCACGTAGGGGACCGAGGAACGCAAGACTCGGCAAAGCGCGGGGCTTGCAGAGCGCCCTTTTGCTGCAGAACCTAAAAGGACCCGGCTATCGATTAACCCTACCAACCTGGAGTTGGGGTGCAGCTTAGAGCAAATCTTCAACCAGGTCTTGTAGGCCCGGGCCTCAAGGACGTTTATGTGGCCTAAACCCAAAAACTTATACCGAAGGACCTCTTTAAAGTCAAGGCAATCTGAAAGCTCACTGATCCACTCGGGATCGTCAAAGAACTGCCGTGGCTCAAAAGCGTAGTCGGTTGGCAAGGGGGGTAAAGAGTCTAAACCACTAAACCTTAAGGAAAGGAGGGTGGACACGAAGGCCGAGACTGGCATCGCAGAGGTAACGCCCGTGCTGGCAAGAGCACTGCCCGAGGCAATGCGGCACGCAAGAGGCAACGGGTACCGGCGGGAGAAGTCAGACACCAGCTCGCCCACGACAGGGGGACGACCCAACACTGCAGAAACGTCCGGACGACAGAGGTCGCAAAAGTCAGAAAGACTGGCGGCCGTGAAGCGCCCACCCGAAGCAAAGTGCGGAGAGGAAGCCGGGCACGTGCAACCCCCAGAAGTCCGGCCGAGCTGGTGCAACCACGGCTTGTTGTGCAAGAACGTGGTGGCGCACTGACAAGGTGAGCCGAACGCGCAGAGGGAAACCTCGGTGGCAACGGCGCCCAACGCAACCAGACCCCTGAAGCAGTGAAGCCGGAAAAGCAGACTCTCGGCAGGGTGCGACACGCTCACAAAAGAGCCAGCGCTAGCGGCGAGGCACAGAAGAAAGCACAACCGACGAGCCAAAGTGTTGTCACGAGAAAGCTCGTCCGACTGGAAACCGAGGCCAGCAGGGTTGTCGCAGGAACGAAGGCCGGCGACAGCACTGGAGCGAACGTCGGGGCAAGCACCGCAGAACGAAGCAGGGGGCGGGTGACAGTGCCAGTCATGCACCAAGCCACTGAGGGCAAGAGTGCACAGCGAAGAGAACGTAGCGCGGTCCTCGAGGTCTTCAAACGACAGCGCAGAGAACTCAGGACGTTCAACACCGTAGTCACGCAAGCCTGCACGCGTGTGCGCGGGGACCCAGTTGCAGTCACCTTCGAAAAGGCAAAGGAAGGAGCCGCCACCAGAACGTGGCGCACGGAAGGGCAAAGGTTCCGGAGAAAACGGAGCAGCACTGGCAGAGGGAAGGTTCTCCACGAAAGCCGCCCCAGGATCATCTGACAAATCAAGCGATTGAAGAAGGGCAGAGGCTGGCTCCAAAAGCTTAGTGTAAAAGCCCTTCTGCTCAGTGTGCCGCCACAACTCTTTCACCACGTGACCTGGCAGGGCCGCACAGCAAATGCCCGCGCCAGTCGGAGACGCGTCCATACAAAAAACTTTGTCTGGGTAGCCGGCACGCAAATCAGCTTGAATCAGCGGCCCCATGATACACAAACATGCAAGTTCGTTCACAGAATCGCGATGAAGCTGAAAAACTCTGTTCGCCGGTGTGCGTCTGGCGTCGGCAAACACTTGACCTAGTATTGAGAACACCGGCCTTCGAAACAAAAGGATATGCACCCAAAGTCCGAGGATCGATGCCAAAAGCGCAGGTGTGCATCGGCCGTGCCGCGAGACTAAGGAAGTTATTCTCATCAATACTCCGATGCGGTGCCGCGGCGCCGAAACCAACCCTTCGCAACCATCCACATCTGCACCGAGGAAGGTGCCAGAAGTGACCTGTCGTTTACGTTTCCCCGGATGGGGCACCAAGCCCACCAGGGGATACGCAGTATCAGCAGCAGCAAAGATTTCAGTGTCACGCAACGGCACTTTCGAGCGCAATTGCATTCTTGAGCAAACCTGAGCTGTCATGTGATCGTCGATGGATAAAAACTCCAGGCATTCAGAGCGTGGAAACGTGCGGCGGTAAGCCACGAACTCGCTAGGTCACATACTGTTGCCCAGGCTGGCAAGAACATTGAAATGCGCTTGCTGAGCATACTCCACGGCGCCACAGTCCCCCATTGCTAAGGCATTGAGGGCAATGAAGCACGGCCCTTTATGCAACTCCGGATTGAAAGCTGCAAACCCTTTAAGTTCATGAGGTTGGAAAGCGATCCCCAAACAGTTCCGTTTAGACCTAAGGGGCGGAACCACAAAGGTATAATACATCTCGCTGAGGTCATCGCAACACAACCTGAGAACATGCGAAGCAGTGGGCAAACTCGCCTGGGCCAAAAGGCAGCCTGGTGCCAAAAGCTTTGTGTAGCAGCTGAGTTTGCGGGCTCGGGAGTTTGCAACAGAGGGATTAAGTATGAACCTATCAAAGGAGATATCTTTGGGGACCCCGAAGCAACCTACGGTTTCCAAAGAATCAACCTCAGAACAATTGAAGATCCGAAGCGCCTTGAATTTGTCCCACTTTGCAGCAAGCTTGAGGAGCTCGCCGCGCGAGGCATGAACCTTGGAGCGCGGGAGTTTCGGCCAAAGGGCCTCGGGCAATTTGACCGAGTCAGGCTCAAGGTAAGCCCGTTTAATTTCGGGATCAAGCAAAAAGGGCACCGGATCAAAAGAAGGTGGCAGTGACCACTTGATGCGATCAGCGACGACCGGCTTGCACGAAAGACCCGAACCAACTGAAACAACCTCAGGATGCCCATTGCACGAAGGAGCCGTCGTCGAGGCACCCACAGCAGAAGCCTGAGACAGGTCGGGTTGGCAAGGGTTAGGGGGCATGCGGGGTCGTCGGCCATAGGAGCACCACTCGGTTTCCAAAGAACAAACGAATTCAGTGAGCAGGCGGTCCGTGTCACAAGCACCCGACGAATCGGCCTGAGACAGTTCCAGGGCCCCGCTCAACAATGCAGAAAATTTTTCCCCCGATCGACCGAGAGTGGCGAGGCTGAAGCGTCCTGCGCGAACAAAGTGCAAGCAGTGTCGCTCGAGCGTGCACAGTACATTGTGCTGATCATCGGTCAAAACGGCGCCGTGGATATGAGCATGAGCCGGGGCATGCGAAGGGCAACCCAAAGCAAGCCAGTTGAGACAGCCTACCTGAAGTTGCACAAGCTTTGCCACTAGTTTAAAAAGCTTCCCCCGACGGCGCCGCTGAGGACTTAGGTTGCAAAACGTTTCGGCCGTCCATCGTGCCGAGGGCATCGGGACTGGCCACAGATCGCCTGAGCGGTGTTCAGGCACAGATGTGCAGGCGGGAGCGCGTAGGGAATCACGAAGGAAAGAACCCAAGCAAGACCTACTGCTCCAAAGTTGACCTAAAAAACTATTGATCCAGCCGACAAAGCAAGTCTCGGACTCGGGAATTGCCGTGGGGTCCGGGCGGGGCTTAGAACCTAAGGTGCCCCGGTGGGCGACATTACGATCTGCTGGCTCCGCCTGCGCCTCTGAGGGCTTCGCCCCAGCAGGACCTAGAACATTGTGCGAATTAGGGTGGCAGCCGGGGCTAACACCAGGCCAGGGAGGCTCCACCTCCCCAGCGAAACATGCACTGCTGTGTTCCCTCCTCAAGAGTCGCCGAGGGCCTTGGGAGGACGTCGCGGTCTCCGCGGTGGCCTTGTCGGGGTGGCGCTGTCCTCGGGCTCGGGGGTGTCCTTGGGTTGGTCCTTGCTTGCCTCGCCTGTTGCAGACATTCGAGAAGAGAGCCACTCCATCTCCCGAAGGTAAGCCACGTTCGCGCTCAACCAAAGGCTCGGGCACAAACGAGAGAAGGGCCTGACCCCCTGCCTCCGGCGTGCCATGGAGCTCCACGCCGGATCCGGAAGCCCCGTGAGAAGCCACCCCAGCTGAGTTCGGCCCCCCTCGGTCGCACACTGGTCGGTGAACATCAAAAGGCGAGAGCACCAAGCCTCCAGGTCCGCATTCCGCTTTTCGCGGGCCTGCTCCCAGCCGTGTGCAGCGAACATGCTCACCAGGGCCAAGGTGCGATGCTCGGCCACAGGGCTTCTCTTCTCCACGAAGGTCCGCATGAGATTCGGGGGCGGCGCCTGCACATCCTCGCCGAGCTCCTCCGCAGCCAAACGCCTGATCTGCTCGGCCACGGCGACGTTGTCTTTCAAGAGGCGAACATAGGCGTCCCTCGCCGCCGAGCCCTTTGCGGACAGACTGGCGTCGTCTTTGCCCCCGCCGGAACCCAATGCAGCCTCCAGGGGCTCCTTGGTTTGCCCGCCGAAAGGCGAGCCAACATCTGGGTCTGGATCAAGAAGAGCTTCTCCAGCACCGAGTCGTTGGAACCCCCGGCGGGGAGCCCCTCGTCTTGGATGGCGCCCGCCTCGATCTCTGCAAGGAGGTCGTCTGCCTGCCTCGTAAGTGCCCCGCGGGGCTCTCGCTCGTGCTGAGCGATCCTTCCAGGAGGTGGGCCCGCTGCTTCTCGAAGTCGCTGCATGTCGGCATCTGTGATGGCAGCCGACCCCGAAGGAGGAAACAAATCGCGAGCACCACGGCGAGCTTGGGCAGAAGGGCCCCGAGAAGCAAAGCCACCAATACCGGCCCCGGCAGGGGGAGCAGTGTTGGCCGAGAGCTCCAAAGCATGAAGGCGAGCCCGCAGCCGAGCCAGTTCCCCAGCATCCGCAGCCCCCTCTTCGTCGGCTTCGCCCTCCTCGTGGTCCTCCAGGGGAAGACCATCCAAGTCCTCGGCCGCGGTGACATACTCCCCCAGACCACTCCCTTGCAGGTCCGGGTCCTCCAGGGCAGTCGTAATCCAGAGCTCGGCGGCGGCCTGAGCTGCATCGAAAATAGGCCTCACCACAGTCTCGCCCGACTTTATAGTGATGAGGTCCAACCGGCTGCCGCGAAGAGCCGCCCCCGAACGAAGGAAGGGAAGCCAGCTCCAAGGCACATCCACGAAGTTGAGCGAGAGCTCCCCCACGGGCCGCCGTCGAGGAGTTTCGCAAGCAACCTGCACCGCTGTAAAATACAAAGGTGTGTCTGGGTGCGCGTCGTTCAGGTTGCCCAGGAGCTCGCTGACCAGGTCGTCGCCGGGAAGGGCCATCATCACGCCGCCAGCCCTGACCTTCAAAAGGAAGGCCGTGATCCGCACAGTCGGGTCGGTCGTGCTGTCGGTGAGGTAGACGACCGGCAAAGGACGGCCCGCGGGCGGGGAGGAAACCATCTGCTGCACATCCTCCCTGCGAAGGCCGCTCCCTCTCAAAGTTCCTGAGGCCATGTCGCCCCAGCGCCTTGCACGAAAGCACGGGCCTCTGCCCTTGAAGGAAAGGCGTGGCACACAGCGGCTCGCTCGAGCCTTCCCACCCCGTCCTTCGGGACACGGGTGGCAAAAGTCCGGTAAGACTCGGTCACAAAGCCAGCAGGTGTCGAAGAACACCGCAGCACCACGTAGATCCTGTTGCGAGTTGGTAGCACGGGGCTCCTCGTCTGATAGTCCTGGGCGCCCGCAAGAACAGAGGCCGCGGAGAGTCCAGCCCGGAAAGCTCGAGCAATACGAGCTTCAGCTGTCCAATTTTCCAAAGCAGAAATCCCCCGGGCCAAACTGGAAAGCGAGCCCAAAGTCAAGCCAGCAAGGGCCTCGGCGGTGGATGCTTCCAGGAACTCGGTGTCGGCGGAACGAGCCGAGGACACCCGGGAGGTAGAAGCCTCCCCTGCAAGGGGTCCAGTAGAAGCCTGGGCGCTTTCGCTGTCCTCGTTCACAAGGATAAAGGATCCAGTCGGAGAGGGGGGCTCGGAGGGAGCCCGTTCGATCGTAATCCGAAACCTTGAAAAACGAAGTGTGAGCCTCTCCAGATCAGGGTCCTCTCTGCTCATTCACGAACTCGGTACTCCTGCAGTCGCCGCTGAAAGTGGCCTCGAAGGTCAGGAGTTCCTTGGGCCAGGTCGAGCCAGCCAATAAGAACTCGCAGAACTGCAGCCACCCCACGCCGAACCGTGGAAGACAGAACAAAGGCTGTCACGATGACACCGCAGAAGCAACCGATCCCGCAGGCCAGAAAGCCAAGGAGGATGCCCGCCCAGAGAGGAAAGGAATGGCACGATGGATTCCAAAACCTAGCCTCTCTCACAAGCTCAGGCAGGGCAGCCCACATCTAGAGAAAAACACAGCTGAGAGCGGTCGCAGCTGGTCGGCTCTTACGGGATATTTGCACACCCTTAAGGAACCCTTGGGTGTGCCTAAGGGCTCCTTTCAAGGCTCGGCGGTCTTCTGCAACTCCACCTAGGTCGCCCCCCATCCTCAACCCAAACCAAAACCTTGCGGTTTAGGGTTTAGGGTTGGGTAGTTCTGGAACCTAAACAAAACCCTCATAAACACCGTTCCGGCCTTCTGTAATCCCATCAAGCCCACCTTTAAAAACCCCCTAAAAGAAGCCCTAAACCCCAAAGCAACAACCCGCTACCAGACTATGCCGCGGGGCGGAGTCACCCAGAGGGCAAC